GGCCAACCAAAGACTTAGTTATCTTAAGTAAGGTAAGAAATCAAAGTACGGGTTGGGACGAGTATGGAACAGTCTTAAATAGATACAACAGTGAGTCAATTAAAGAGGCTTTCTATATTTCCTGATTTTGACGTGTTCTTTTAAAGGATCCATAGTTCATTGAAGTATCGAGCGTGAAGATAGTAGGAGAACTGATTTCGACTTCAAGGTTTAGTTTGCATAGATGTAGAACCTCGTCTTTTTACGGAAACAAGTGTTTTCAACAAAATTAGAGGAATCTTCAAAATTGCATCAAATTGTGCCTACCATACATACCACCAGGTTCGGATGATTTGGAGGTAAAACTAATCGACAATTTAATTTTGAAGGCTTGACGGTATCTATCTTACTTTCCGACTCCTTGGGGAGAAAGTACTTTTTCAGACATTCTCCTGACTGGGGAATCGAGTAACTTAGAAATTTTTTAGTACTAAATTCAAAAGTATGCATCACTACTTCTAATTGTACTGCACAACAGGCTCAACAAAACCAAAACGCGTTGAAATAATCTATACTCGGCATAGGCGGTGGGGGGAGGCTTTTAAAAAATGTTAATCTTCTTTAAAACCATGCTATTTTTTCTATCCTGATCAGCAGTATGAGCAAGGCCTCGAATGCTCTGGCATCTGCTAATAAACGAAACATTAAATTAATAAAGATTCTGACTATTAGTGGAAATTTTAGATCATTTGGGAAGTAATGCAATGCAGGCTCTTGTTAAACTATCAAAGGTAGACACAAAACCTTGTCCCGTTTTTTCCAAGAAATAACCACAACTTTAGTTGCCGGTACTATATTTTAATCCTACAGGAGGACATCTTAAGAAGCCATTTTATCGCGCTGTTAATCACTCGTTCATGCTGAGATCCTCAGGAATGTTTACTCTGTATTAGACCAGAACAAGTAAAAAACATTAAGTTTTTCCGGACCGTGCTTTTAATACTCTCCACCTTTTCGTTAAAAAAAAAACGTTTTTAATAAAATATATGAATTCAAACGTGTTCCACTTTAAACTACAAATACCAGCAAGACCGTTTGGATAATGCTGTTAATCTTTTAAGAAAATCATGAAGTGGGTGAGGATTTACATGGAGGCCATACCAAAACGGGATCCGCGATAGACAATTTTATACTTTAAGGCTTAGTAGATGGCAATTCTTCTTAAATACGAAATTTGAAACAATTTCGTGGGTAAATGTGACAAGCGTTATTAAAATACCGAATGACGCTGGGTTTCGTTACATGTGCGCATTAGGAAAACGTATACCCCAATGTTCTACAACCCGAGCTAGAACTCATTATGAACTACAAATACTAATGTCCTACCACCGGAACTAGAACTCATTATGAACTACAAATACCAATTTTTAAACAAATCCGTGGGAAAATGTGACAAAAATCACCAAAAAAATGAATATCCGAAGTTGGGGCCAATACGAAAATGTGGACCTATATATTATATGTTCGCCACCATTGCGAACTACAAATACTAATTTTTAGACAAATCCGTGGGAAAATGTGGCAAAAATCATCAAAGTACGGAATATCGGGAGGTACGTTATATGGGGGGCTATACAAAAACGTGGACCTATACACACAATGTGGCGCTACCGGAGCTAGTGGCCATTATGACCTACAAATACCATTTTTAAGGCAAATCCTGAAAAAATGTGGCAAAAATCGTCAAAATACCGAATATCGGGAGGTAACGTTATATGGTGGCTGTATCAAAACGGGGACGGATGTGGACCATTTTTAAGACCAAAGAAACAATACAAATTGTTCTGCCAAATTTTGAAGCTATATGTCAAATAATGTGAGCTGTATCGTGATATCAACAAAGAGACAGATGGACTTCGTTAAATCGACTTAGATTTTTATGCTGATTATGAATATATTTACTTTTTGGGGTCTATGACGAATATTTAGGGATGTAACAAACGGAATGACAAAGTTAATATACCCTCCTTTTCATGGTGGAAGGTATAAAAAAACCAGTGAATACACGTTGCAGACAGGAATGCCTAGACATCCAGAATTTAGACGGCTCAAGCCATCATAGCATGTCCTTCCTTTTGAACATATATCAAAATATGCGAAATTGGCGTATTCCCCTAGACAAACCATTCTACTAATTATACTTTTCTTTGACCGATTTCTTGTCTTTGTCGCTTAAACATATTTCCTTTCCTGGACCTTTGGTCCATGGTGTTCTAGAGTATTTTCCTCGAACACCATGGACCAAAGGTCGCTCCGTAAAGCAGCTGTCGATAAGCTCTCAGTGGAAAACTTCATTCAGTTGGGGTGTATATATGGTATATGTGTTCCTTTATAGAAGACAAAACCGATTAAATTTTTCAAAAATTTAAAATTTCTAGTCTAACAATTTCATCATGATAATGGGTATCTTGAAAATAAAATAATAACCAACCAATAACATGGCTATCTATAAATACTGCCGATCACCTGAAAATTGTTGCCCAATCCATCAAGTGATCCCGAAACCAAGCGAAGTTGATAAGTGGTAAACCAAACAATTTTTTTTTTGGAATCCAATAACCCAAAAACTTAACAGAGAACATCTGACAAATACAAAACATGACACGAGAAAGTATATGTAGGAAGAGACCAAATTACGGACAGAAACTGGTGAAAGAAAGTGGCAAGACAAAGGCAAAAATGCTCACCAACACATAGGCAGAGATTATGGCCTTACAATGAACATTGTAGAGCAATGTTCAGTGGCCAATAAGGGCGAAATGAAACATCTGTTATGCAAGGTGCAAAACATCGTTTAAAGCCGGTTAAAGTAGAATTTAAAATGGATTTAGTTGTTATATACAACATGGTTAGGTCTTTACTTGTTTTAGGGCACTGATGTGTTATCCCAATAAAAACATTGATGGAACATTTCCTAGGGATTGGTCATGTAAATTATTTATCATCATTAACCAAAAATCTCCTTCTATGCCCAATTCTTTTTCGGATATATATTTTGCCATGAAAATTTGTAGCCATGATTTCAGTACTTGTGGCGAAGTTATTTTCAAACTTCTCTTGGTTTTACTTCAACTCCAGGTGAAATCATGGTGTACGACTTTGGGAGAGCCATGATTCCAGTTCTTTTGGAGAAATTATTTTCAAACTTCTCTTGGCTTTACTTCAATTCCAGGTGAAATTATGGTATACGACTTTGGGAGACTTCTTCGAATTGTCACTAAAAACTAGCAAAAAGTGATTCCTGTAAAGAGCAACAAAAACTTTTTAATTAACTTAGATTTTGAAATATTCTACCTACTAAAACTCAGCATCAAGTTCATATGGTGGTAGGAACATAACCTCAAAAGGAATACGCTCCACATGGAAGACATAGCGCACAGCAATTAAATCTCTTCTTTCTGATTTATTATCCTCAATGCCTTGTCACACAAAAAAAGGTATCTGCCACTAAGCCAATCTTTTGGTCTCAAAACTCCCCAGGATTTGAGGTTATGATATGGAAAATTCCAAAAACCGAATTGGCGACTCTCTTATGGAATTGACACATTTTGGCCAGATTGGTTGAGTGTCACCACAATAGTTTTACAGTTGTTGTGTGGTAATATGTCATCAGCATCACATTGCCTCTTCAACGAATGAAAATACCAAAACAAAAAACGATAATTAAGAGCAAAAAATAAAATCGAAGATATACAAAACATCAGGCATGGCGGAGTACGAAAACAAACAAACGACGAACAACCAAGCAACCAGCTAGCTATATGGCAAGAATAGTAATATCTACATTGAGGTTCACCATGAGATAACATGGACGTGGAATACTAGCAGCCAAGCTGCTCGAAACAGCAACAACAACAACACAAAATCTAGCAACAAAAAATCCCATACAAAACGTAAACGTGCTTAGGTAAGAAGCAGTTCGTCACTCGTTTCCGAGCTGTTTTGGTGTGCTTGTGCTAACTAACAACCACAGCCACCACCACTACAACGAAGAAACACAACCACTTCGCAATTGAAGCTACAGCTAGCTACTGCGTATATATTCTTCTCCACTGCTCTTGCATGACATTTGGGTGATTTGGTAAAGGCAAAGCTACCATTGTGACTAAGGTGATGTCGACAAACAATGATGACAGCGGCGACCACACCACTTTGGTAAACGCATGGATTCCAGGCCCAGCGGAGTATATATATGGCGAACGTGTGTGTGCCTATGGAATGAGAGATAGCGAGGCAAACACACAAACACAAGCTACTGTGGAATCGATTCTTTCCATAGCAATACACAACCGAGACACAGAGTTGCTTTTGTCCAAGCATACAAATGAGTTCACAACAACGACTGGTGGACCATGAACCCCGAGTCCATATAAACGATTGTGTAATCAAAATAGGTATATTGTTCTTTTAAGGATTTCCAAACGATTCCACTAGGCCACCAAAATAAATGTATTTATCGGGCCAGAAAAAAAGGTTAATTCAAACACTGGATGTTTCTCCTCGTGTGTGTGCCATGTCAATCTGTTACCTAGCCACCAGTCATATGAACGACAATGGACTGGTTATTTGCTTGGCTCGAGAGTTGTGGTGGTGACGACTCAGTGCCTGCCGACTACTATTGATTACCACTACACAGGCACCACCGTTCAATGGCGATGGCAATGAGACAAATGTGGCGAATGATGCACACGTCAAACGATGGCTAAATAATGTGGGTCTGGCAATTATATGCGCCAACAACGACGACAACAACGGAGGCAGATGATGATGACTACATGCAAAATCCAACCTAACCTCACTTTGTTCGCCATCACCTCATCATGGAGTATAATTATCATAAACGTTTGCCCAGTCACTCGGCACACTCGTGTTTGGCTTTGGTATTCGGCAGCAGTGGCGGCAGCAGAAATGTACCCAGTCCACGTGAAAATGGACGGGTGTGGTCGTGTATTCCAACTTACCTTGATGGATACACAGCTATGGATTTTGCTAGCCAAGGGCTCCTTGTCGGCTGCATAACTGTTTAAAATCGATATACATTCGTTGTCTGGAGCTAAACACAGGCGGCAGCAGTTGTGTCTCCTCTGTTGGTTCTGCTGCTGCAGACGTTCATCCGACATTTTGAATTTGTCCTATGTCGATCCACACTTCCACACACAAGAAAACTGACTCTTTTCTGAATCTTAGTGCTTGTGGAGGTGGCAGAACTGCTCTTTCCACTCAGACAAATAAAAAATGATGATTGTTCCTTATTCCAAGTATTATGTATTCGCCGTCGTTTGCCTGTTTGATATTTAATCTTTTTTATTTTGTTTTCACTTTCTCTTTCAATTATTATTGCAAATTGTTTTTGTTTTTTCCGTCTGTTATTTTTTGCAAGCACAGTTTTTTTCGCATTTGAATTCACTTATTTTGTGCGTTTATAAATTTTGACAATTTTTCCTTGCAAATTTTTTGTGAATTTTTCTTCTTCTACATTTTTGGTGTGTATTCCACTTGTCCTCGATAGCTACGGAGGAATAATCCACGACTGCTCGCAACGGGATTTCAAGAAACTGTGCGTCTGGTTTTGGGTTTTGCCGGAATGGATTGTGCATTTTCTCTGTTTCCATGCTCTTTCGCGAATATGCCCGTTAAGTGCGAATGAAGCCGTTGCGCCGCCACTCACTCACCGTTGAATATCGGCGTTCACAATTGTTCTCATCGACTCTAGTTTTATGGCAAGAAATGCTCAATGCTAAAATTATCTTCCATTACAAAGATATGTATTTTTTGGTCTTAAAAATAATAATAAATAAAAAAGAAAATATATAATATTTAAATACATTGATTTAACTGAGTTTATGTTTACAATTGACAATAACATATGATTGATAGCATTATACAAAGGTCGCTGGCCACACACAGAATTTGTGTCATGAAAAAATCTAAACTATGAGCAGCAGTAAATGGCAATTAGGTGTGTCTGGTTACTTTTCCAGCAGGAATTGTCCAGCAACTTCTTTTTGAGAGAATAAGGTAGTTTTATTCACTTTTGCAAGGAAAATACGAAAAGTAAACAGACGCTATTCCTGCAGAAGCTTGCAACTAATCAGCTGATTTGTCAAAACAAACCAATTTGTCCCCCATAAGGAGAATTAAAACAAAGGAAGCAATACTAATTTTACAAGTATTTTAAATAAAAATGTTGGAAATAGTCGTTTATTTTCTTATTGCATATTAACATTTACGTTTTTCACATTTTGTAAAGTTGTTCTCCAATTCCAAAAAAATATTTTCAAATTGAAAGCACAAAAAGAAATAAACAAACAATAGAAAACATCTGATTGAATGTCGATTAATTAGAAGAAGAAGAGTTGCAAGTGATTGCAAGAAGAAATTTTTCCAGCAAGAATTTGCAAACTCTCACTGAAAGAACTGTCAAAATTTCTCTCTCCAACCGCTCTCTTTTGCAGAACTTTTGGGTTAACAGACGACTTCCAGTAACAATTTGTAACAATTGTTACAAACTTTAGGGTAACCAGACACACCTATTGTTATGTTCCAGAATCTACTATTTTTGCAATTTTTTTGATATCATAAATGGAATATCGGTTATAGCAGTAAAAAATGTTTACATTCCTGCAGTTCTGGAACAGACCAAATGTCTCCCAATCGATGCTAAAGAACCTTGTATGATTGAACATTTTATGCAAAACAACCGATTAACTTGAAAATATATAACAGACACATTACGCTTTAGTTCATCCAATCAGCTGATTTTCTAACAACACACAGCGTCCGGTAATATTGCGGATATGGCAAGAACTAACATTTTTTTTTTTTGGCTTAATTTAGTTTCTTTTTTCTGACTTTAAATTTTAGCAATGAAAAGCTTTGTTTGTTTTTTATTGTTTGAAGGTAATAATCTGTGAATAGAGTTAGATCCCTATCTTTAAAAAATATAAAACTTCAAAATTTCTTTGAAAATAATAGATACAATTATTTATGGAATTATCCTTATGTAAAAAGCTCTATCAAATCGAGCTCTTTTGCCAAGTACATTTTTCGACCTTTCCAATTATTCAATTAATTAGAAATAATTTGTTGTAACAGTTTGTCATAGCTAATTTCATCTTAAATATCGGCTTTATATGGTTTCCTCACCTTTTTCCCAATCATTAATCATTTTACAATCCTTCAAATATCGCGTTTGATTATATGCATTTTGAATTTATTGAAAAAAAAATCGTTTTATTTATATGAAATTTTAAAAATATGTAGAATCTCAAGACGTTATGTTTACAGAAAATAAGGGTTAGTTCCTATTCCAATTTAGTCATGTTATAAAAATGCCAATAAACCAATAATATCCTCTTTTTCAATAAAAAAAATTATGTTTAGTTTGATTCATTATCAGGTATACAAAGAAGTTATTTTATAATTTCAACTAAATGTCAATCCGCAAAAGTTCGAGTGATAAAATCTCCCCTTGAAAAAGTCAGATACACTTCCCTCAGAGTTGAGTTTACAAGTGCATCGTCATAAAGGCAACGAATGTGCCACCAAGTGAAGAATTTTATCTACAATCACAACTTTGTCCAAACAGATGGTCTATTGGTGGGGATTAACTAGACAATGGGTTCAGCTGTGTCCAAGCGAGTAGTGTTGTGTAGCTTAATTCGAAGCTCTTCAAGCTAGATTTTGCATCTCACTTTTGGATGTTACAAAGTGGTTACAACACTACCCATCTACAATGCTTGGACACTTTACCGTGCTCATCCGCCACCAGGTATATTACAATCCATTGAATTAGTTATCCGACCTATGCGACGATTGGGACGTAGACCCCCGTTACCACCGGAGCCACCACCACTGCCGCCGCCTCCTCCACCTCCGCCATATCCACTACCAGAACCCCAACTGCTACCACCACCACGTCGATTTCCGTTACTTCCGCGGTTCTCAACGTTGAATGGTGCTATCAGAGTTCGGAAACTGAAATGGAGTGTGTTAACTTAATGCATTTCTATAGAATTTATTCATAATACGTACAATTGAATGACTATGAGCCATAGACCCGTGAAGATCTCCATTACACGAGCCATGTCCCAAGGTCGTTTTTCCAAAACCCGACCATCTGCAATGTAGAATTTATTGATTATTGCTGTGAATGAAAATGATGCTAGGGGTTTAATTTTCTTACTGCGATCTATGTACACCATTTTGGGATGGTGACAAAAATATCTGGGTAAATTTTAATGCTTTTCGCAGATGTTTTTGTTTCTACTAAAAACAAGCACAATGACGATGTTTTTTCTACTGATAAACTGACGTGGCTGTCAAACTATAAATGAGCACAACGGCAGCGTTTAACGGCAGTGCTGTTTTATTTAATGGTGTAACTTGAAAAGTGACGTATGACAGAATTAATAAATATAAAAGCATGCATGGCACAATAACAATAATTATAATTTAGCCATGCTCTGGCGTTTTCTGGAGAAACCAGAATTTCAGAATTTGGATGTTGTCAATAAATGTATGGGAAAATTGTATATATTTTACCATGAAGTTGCCTTTTATAATTTTGCCATGATAACAATTCTTAGTTTTTTTAAATACGCAAGTGACTATTGACATAAATACATTAAATAATTGTTGTTATCACCTTATATATATGTTCTATTACCGAACACATTTCATGTTGTGCGTGCATTTCGAACGTAAAATTATCAGTTTTAATTTTGAAAGTCGAGGGTCGAGAAAGTCGAGGGAAATTTGTGAAGAAATTGTTGTGGTTATCAAATAGACCTAATTACGCTGTTCCAAAACCTGCAAGAATGTAAAAATATTACGCTAACCTATTTGTCCTTTATGATATCAAAACAAATTGCAAATCTAGTAGATTTTTGCAGGGTCTGTGACAGAGCATTTGCCACGGATTCAGGGTTTCAGGGGTCTCAAAATTATTTAAGGCAATCTTGTGTAAATATAAAGTATATACAATTTTACAATTTTTATAAAGTATATACAATAAGTTAGATTTACTAAACTACTACTGCTTAAATAAAACATAGGCACATTGTAATACGTTTTATTAACAACTTTATTTTAAATTCGAAAAAAATTATGGTGTTGACATTTATTTATTTTTGGAGTAAACGTTTCATTTTGGCATTTTAAACGAAGTTTTGAATATGTATGTTGATTCTAAAAATATTTTGAAAATATATATTTTAACACATTGTATTAGTTATTATTATTATTAGTAACGGGTAAATTTTAATATTAGATATATATTTTGATGGTCTCTAAATATATTTATATATATAATTTTGTTTTTAATTTGGTATATAATTTAAAGTATATAATATTTGGTTGGGTATATGTGTAAGTTGTATTATCGACAGGAAGTTATTGTTATTTTTGTTGTTTTTCGGAAACCTAGCCTACAAAAAATATGTATGTACGTACGTATGTTAATAAATAAGATTGATTATTGCTGACAAATACCTCCTCCAAAATTCTTACTCACTTCGTGTCATTGTAAAGCTGGATACGTTTTACATACCTTATTGTAAAATAAATATCATTATTCTCATTTTATTATTGTTCAATCACCTTCACTCTTAACAGTGCTAACACTGGCCCTCGGCCGATTCGAAAATACGAGCAAATACCGACGGTATTTCGCCAATCATATCGGTAGCCAGCATGCCACGTCCATGCTTCTGAAATGCCGCGGCATTACAATGCTTTAGAAAATAACTGGCTGCAAAGGCGGCCAGAAACCCGGGATTAGCCTGATTGGCTTCCAAGGACCAATGGAAAAACACCGATAAGACGCCACACAGCAAATCGCCCTGACCGCCGCAACGTCGACCGGAACCACCAGCGGGCATTACATAAATCTCCGAGGTGTTTGGTATGTGAATGCGGTCGCGTGCACCTTTTTCCAGTACAATAACCCCCTCACCCAGTGAGGCCATACGCTCTTTGCAAAATTTGTCACTTTCACTGGCCGGGGAGGCAACTGAACCAAATAAGCGACGAAACTCAATGGCATTTGGTGTTAGAATTATATTGCGTTGTCCCTCGATTAAATCCAAATGATCGTTGAGTATGGCCAGACCATCGGCATCAATGACCATAGGCTTTTCAATTTGTAAACAAACTTTGATAAGTTCGATGACAGTCTTTTGTATTTCTGGATCCCGACCCAAACCGGGTCCAATTATCTAAATAAGTTTTAATTTGGAAATGGAAAACAAACAAAATGGAAAAAGAAAAAGTGCAAGAAAAAAACATAACCTCAACATGATGTTTTCATCAATAATGTAGGCTTGTCTATACTGTATGCTACATCAGTACAGGCTACTACTTACAATTACATGTAACCTTTCCAACCATGGTGCTATTATTTCGATGGCATTTTCATCGTCTAAATTCGGATGTACTATCAACTCGGGACTGTATGACTTAATGACAACGGCAGCCTCCTTCCGACAAAAGACATGAGCCAAATCGGCACCTACCTTCAGCGATGAAATTGCTGCAAAATATGGAGCTCCCGTATATTCAAGTGAACCTCCCACCACACCAATCCTGCCGTATTGCCCCTTATGCTTGCTATCGGTTAATCGAGGCACTACTGTCCTTGAAAGCTTGAGTAATTTTTGTGTTTGAATTGGTATTTCCATGCCGACGACGTTCAATTGCTGTGATGTTGTTTTGTTAATTTGCTGTTGGTGTTGTTGTGTTTGCGTATAAAAACTACAGGCATTATCTGTCGTTGGACTTGGCAAACACCTGAACTGACTAATTAAAAATACAGTTGTACGCGGCTTGGTTCGCAGTATTGAAGTTTGCATTGCAAACGAGCTTTAATTTAAAGCGTAAATTAAATTAATTCTGTAATTTTTTGACTACGTTCGAAGTAGACAAAAAATCTATTCAAACGCACTTTGCTTTTGGAAGAATCGATGAATGTGGTGGTTACATTTCAAATGCGAATATTGCAAATTCCAATGTTTTTTATGTTGATTCTGCAAAAAACAACGAACGCAATAACAGCTGATGAAGAGAAAATGGAGAGAATAAACAAAAGGCAAAAGGAGCAGGGTTGTATAAATAGTAGTGCGACGACTATTGCAATTGTTGCCAGATGAATTGGAAAGATTTTTCGTTTGTAGTTCCATGGCTCCATTCCATGCTGGATGTTTGACTTAAAGTGATGATCATATAGTTAGGAATAGGTAAAGCCATTTTAAATAAGCTTTTCATTATCTGGATTTTTTGTAATTGAGTATGATTGCATATGATATGTCACAACAAATACATGAATTGTTTGTTTACATTAACTCAGGTACTCTCTAAATTGTTATAAAAAACCTGACCTTTGCATGGAAATTTTGGAATAACCCGTTCGCCCAACTTTTTTTTTGCATCCCATTTAAGTTCCACCGCCAAGCCTGTGCGTATTATGTTCAACTAACCAAATGATTATAGATGATTTATGGCTGCAGCCTATATTCTGTCTATTACTTACTGCCAGACCTTACATATACTTGGTATTAATATTACTGATAGTACATAGTGCTGGCCTTTACTTTGAGAGTACTATTAGCGTTGAATTACTGTGTACAACGTCAAAAAAAAAAAAAAACAATGTTAGAAAAGTGGCCTACTCGGAGAAGTACCGGGTCCTAGTCTGGGTTTGTGATGTCCTCAAACAAATTAGAACTGTCTTGGAAAAGAATTTGTTTAAAACCTTCAAATGGAGACAGAATCCACTCCACTCGTCCGACAGCTGTTAAAATTATTCCAGTGACAGCTCATTATATTGTTTACAAGCGTACAAAAGCATTTTGGTGTGATTTCTTTATATTTGGCTGGAAAACCACAAGTGGCTATCGTTAGAGGACTCCAGCATTTAAATATAAATAAATCTTTTGTGTCTCGTACCATCGCTCGTTACCGTGATACTGGTAGCGTAGCCCGACGTCAAGGAAATGGACGGAAGAAAACAGCAACATCAGCAGAAATGGTTCGAAGAGAAGTGACTTGATCGAAACCCGCAGTGGCCTAAATATGGCTCGTGAGCTGAACATATCGCAATTTTCCATTCGGCAAATATTGAAAAATTAGCTCGGGGTAGAGCCATTGAAATTCCAAAAAGTGCAAGAACTTCACCACTTTGCTTGGCCGAAAGTGCTGAACTACCGAATTTGGTTTTCTCCGATGAGAAAACATTCCTTGTGCAGCAGTTTGTAAACAAACAAAATTGTCGTATTTACTTGCCAAAGAGGTCAGCTGGAAATGTACACCTTCGGTTGGCCACCAGAATTCAAGCACCGACCATGGTGATGGTGTGGGCCGCCATAACAGCCGATGGTCGCTCTCTGCAATGCCGAATATTATCTCGAAAATGTTCTGGAGGGTGTATTAAAGCCTTGGGCACGCAAACATTTTGGCCGCAGACCTTGGACATTCCAATAGGACTCAGCACCGTCGCACTCAACACAAAATGAGATTCCCCACTTCATTTCCAGCCCACAATGGCTACCAACATCTCCGTTGGACTATTGTGTCTGGAGTATTTTGGAAAGCAAGATTGACACAAGCGCTTCGCCGGGAATGGGCCAAAAAACAGCAGAGTAACATTCAGCGTGTGACCGTTTCATTGGCCGTTTGAAGGCCATTATTCGTTCTAAAGGCGCCCAATTCGAACAAATCTAAACTTATTCTAAAATTCGATGCTATTTCCGACATTTTTTGCTTTCATTCAATAATATTAAAAAAATATATAAAATGATGGCGTTTGACTTTGTTGCATTTTTTATCTCACCCTGTACTATATGGAGTCATCGAGAACTTTTTGAGAATGACTAATTTAATATACCCTACATCTTACTCTTTTCCTTTTTCGAAATATACGCATAAATATGGCAAAAAACCAAAACTGGTTATTGTTTGAAGTTCTTGGCTTCTATACACTATAAGAACAAATTGTAACATATATCCAGAGAACAATGTCGATCGTAAAATAGAGAGAATTATCATTTTATTTTTACCAAAAAAGAGGCATGATTAGATCTTTCAATTTTTTAAAAAATTGTTTCTTTTGAATCACGGAAAAAAATTAACACGCCCTTTACAAAGAATATGCATCTCGTCTATGGAATTAAATTATAAAATATTTTGTTTTTATAGTAAACTGGTCTCATTCATCTCACCTTCTTTCCTTTATTTTTCCTTAATTGCAATTCTTTAGCAAATTACAACTATTCCCATGTCTGGCTTTGAAACAATTTGCTCGTTATTTTTCCCAACTGTCATATTCATATTTAATTTTGTTTTGTTTTGCGAATTGTTGTCATTTGCAAATATTTGTGCCACTACTAGTTTTTGCATTGCTGATATTTTCTTTGTGTTCAGTACCAATTTTCTCAGCAGTTTGTGTTAATTTGTGTGAAGTAAGGTGCGCTTAGCTTTTCCTAAGTTTTCCTTGATTTTTTTCATTACAACAATTTATAGAATTTTTAATTTATGTAGAATAATTGTTGGCATAACGTATAAATTTATGCTTGTGGCGAAGGTAAGTGGAGATTTGAGGGTTCTAGGCGAACAAGAAAATCAAATTCCTGTGGTCATCTCCAGCTTGTAGCAAAGTTTTCCAACGAGAGTTCTTAGCCGCAATTTGATTTCCCAGGAACGGCGATAACTGGAAAAGCCAACAACAGTAGCAGCAGTGAAATAGTGACGGTGATTTGTTGGCTGAAGCCATCTTCAAGGTTCAACTATTATAATATGGTGGTGGTGATGGTGTATGTTCGTCGTCGTCGTGTGTAATGTGCATATGCAATCAATGGAATTGTCAAGTTATTACATAGCAGGAGAAAAGTGTGTGTGAGTGAGTCCAAGTGAAAACGAAAACGTACAAATCAAGCCAATAATAATCGTTGTAAGGACCAACGACCCATAGAAGAATCCTTAGTGAAGAGTGAGAGTGACACTTATGACTTGTCAAGAACTATTTACACACCACATATGGCTGGCAGGCCAGTAGCAAACAAGTCGCATACATAACTTGTATATAGAAAGCACTGGCTGGTTGCTGACTGAATGACTGGACGACAGACAGGAAAATAAAGCTGATTTTTTCCTCCAACGTATAGTATATGATCCAGAAATTCATATCTTCAGTGTCCAACAAATGCCAAATACATATATATCAGTGGATCTTGAAACGGTGTATAAACATAGTGTTGAAAAAAAGTTTTATTCAAAAGGACCACTAACTTCCTGAAACATTCGAGCAGAACAAACGAACGAACAAACGAATAAAGAAGGGAAAAACAATAACAAAAATCAGGTCACGGTACAAATTCAATGTCACACGTCATGTCAGGAAAAATTCTTCAACAGTTTTACTACTGTCACAAGATGTAATTTTATTTTGCACAAAAAAAGTAAAAGTGTAAGTGAAAATAAGTGAAAAAAATATCCCTTCTATGAAAAAGTAAAGGGCTTTAAACTTAAATGCACTGGCAAAACAGTGTTGAAGAACATCAATTGCAGTGTCTTAAATGCCATACACATATATTTATATCCTTAAACCTGGATCGATTTTGTACTGTGATACATATTGAAAAAAAAAATATTTTTTTTATAAAATATGGAATTGTACAGGAAAGAGTATTTTAAAACTTGTGAAGTTAGTAGATATTTGTTTTGGAAGCAAGGTATTTCGTAGGTTTGTGAAATTATCGATTCTCCAAGTTGATTTTATGACCTGCAAATTTGTATATGCTATATATTTAGTGAAGAATTAGAATTCCAAACCACAATGTTCTTTGGGAAACAAAATTTATTTCTAATAATTCCTAAAGTTGTAGGTTATTAATTTGGTTATAATCATTACGGTCATATCTTCGTATTCTAGGAATTTTCCAAATATTTTTCTCAGATATTAGAAATGATATGAGCTATGTATTTCGCTGGATTTTTGGTTAAATTTCATTGTTTTTTGATTAATGCATTTTAGAAAGTTTTGAAAGCAACAGGACAGCTAAACGCAATTTAAATGTGAATTCTAAAACTGGCAAGCAAGAACTTCCGTTTTCAAGATTCTAAGAGAATATAAAAAGTTCCCGAAGAAATTGTGCAAGTAATGAACCTATACTTGGTTTATCTATCACCCATATTGTATTCCAGATTTGCAAAGATTTTTAAACTTTAATAGTTAGAACACATTTTTACAAAGTTGCTCATGGCTGTTGAAATTGTCCCAAACCACAATATAACCTAACTATTGGTATTTTGAAGGCCCATACAAAATTATTGTTTAAAATTTTTTCAGTGACAACGAGTGCCTATTGTTCGACTGCGAAAAGTCCACTTTAAAATTTTAGATTCGTTCCATCAGTTCGTGTTAGGTCTTTTTAGTACTCAAAATGCACATTTTATCAGTTTGACATTTTTTTTTTTGATCAAAACTTCAGATATCATCCCAAATTGCCAGAATTTCAGGTTAAATACATACATAAAGCGCTTATCTGGCTGGCTTAAGTCATCGGCTGACTTCTTCGTAGATGAACAAAGGAGTTTTAGGTTTACTTAGTTCGATTTTGGGCCTAGGCTCCTTTGTTCATTTCCGAAGAAGCCAGCCGTTGACTTAAGACAGCCAGATAAGCGCTTTATGTATTCCCACCTTAACTGCTCTAAATCCAATTGTTGATAGGTGGTATGATCTACTTCAAATTCTACCATTTTAGAACTTTTCATAAACTTAAAATTCGAATTTAAGAAATCAAACCAAGAACAGGATGAGATAAAAAAACTGGAACAAAGTCAAACGCCATAATTTTTACATTTTTTTTTAATTTAATTGAATGAAAGCAAAAATTGTCGGAAATAACATCAAATTTTAGAATAAGTTTAGATTTGTTTGAATTGGTCACCCTTGGCAGGAAATCTGGCCTTCAAACTGCCAATGAAACCGTCACACGATGCCCGAATGTTGTTCTGCGGTATTTTGGTCCATCAACACTTTGGTGCCAACCTTGCTTTCCAAAATACTCCAGACACAATAGTCCAACGGATTGGTATCCGGTGATTTTGGTGGCCATTGTGCGCTGGAAATAAAGCGAGGAACCTCATTTTGAAACCATTCTTGGGTGGCGGGTGCTGAGTGCGATGGTGCTGAGTCCTGTTTGCGTGACCAAGGCTTTACCTACACCCTTCAGAATATTTTCGCGATAATATTCGTAATTTTTCTAATGCCACGGTCGATTAATACAAACGGAGAGCGACCAACGGCTGTTATGGCGGCCCACACCATCCGGCCATGGCCGGCGCGTGTATTCTGGTGGCCAACCGAAGGTGCACATTTTCAGCTGACCTCTTTTTTGCAAGTAAACACGGACATTTTGTTTGTTTCAAACTGCTGAGTCTATGTTCTTTCTGTTGCTGCGAAGTTCTTGCACTTATTGGAATTTCAATGGCTTTACACCGAGTTCATTTTTCAATATTTGCCGAATGAAATATTTCGATATGTTCACCTCATGAGCCATTTTTCGGTCACTTCTTTACTTTTCGAACCATTTCTGCTGATGTTGCTGTTTCCTTCCGTCCACATTCTTGACGTCGGCCTACGCTACCAGTATCACGGTAACGAGCGATGGTACGAGACACAAAAGATTTATTCACATTTAAATGCTGGACTGCTCCAACGATAGCCACTTGTGGTTTTCCACCCAAATATAAAGAAATCACACTATCACGCTTGAACTCCATCACGAATAACTTTTTTTCTGGAAAATTCTTACCAAAATGTTGTAAACAGTATTATGATTTGTCACTGGAATTATTTTAACAGTTGTCGGACTAGTGGCTTAGAAATGACAGGAGTCTGAAGTTGGCTGCAGTTTTTTCATCTCACCCTGTATATATAAAATAAAAATATTTTGGCAATGCCGTTACTTGGGCGAACCTGAATCCATTTACATATTTGTGACCTCTCTAACGAAAACTGACATTAATCTTGTTGGAAGCATAATTACGAATCATTACAACATATGGGTCATTCCCTCCAAATGGGAGAAATTATGATATGGACAATTAGGATCCGTGAAGATAGTAAAGTAACAGAAACGTTTAAACATTTGATGTGCCAATGCACGATGCTATCTAAGAATATGCTTAGATTAATTGGAGGGAAAGGTTCAAGCGGAATCAACATTAATTTTATGCTGACAACTGCTCTTGAGCAATTAAACTCATGAGATCGTTCCCGATCCCCTTTTCTGCCTTCTTCCACTACAAAAGCGATTACTATATAAGAACTAATATAAACTATATAAGAACCTAATGAAAACCTTCAAATCTCCAATTACCACAAACATCAAACAATTTTTTTTTTGATGTTTCAAAATAATATTTCCCTTTGTCCTTTTGCTAATTTCAGGTGGTTAAGTGTTTAGTGTGGTGTAAAGTGCGACAGTGGAGATACATTTGTGTTAGAACGCGCGTGTGCGACACTCACTAACTAACCGGAAACACAGAACATACAAAAATCGAAGAAGAAGGTTTTAGCATATGCTTTAATGCCGATCAACATTTACTGCTGAAATACCAAGGATTGTGAAACTCTCTCTGCTGCTGTTGAACGGAATCCATTATCTGACTAAGGAGACAATCGTAACTGTTACGGAAATACTAGGTGTTTTATTTTAAACGAAGGCGAAAACAACAAAATAAAAAACATGTCAGATATTGGAAGCGGCGATGGTGATCTTGGGGGACCAAGTATGTGTAGTTGTATATTTTAATACAACAAAATTGTAAAGCAATGGTAATGATTTTATATTAATTAGAATACAATGCCGCAGGTAGCAGCATGGAGGGAGCTGGAAGATGTGATTTTGATCCGTCGGTAAAAACTCCTCAGGGTCAAACCGAACAGGAGTTGGCCACTAAGATGTTGCAAATACAATCGAAACGTTTCTATTTAGACGTGAAACAAAATCGTCGTGGACGTTTCATTAAAGTGGCTGAGGTGAGAGAAAATAGTAAATCATTTGAACGATGTTTTCATTAATGTTTCATTTGTTATAGATTGGAGCTGACGGTAGACGTAGTCAAGTCTATTTAGCTTTATCTACAGCCGCCGAATTTCGTGATCATCTATCGACATTTAGCGACTATTATGCTTCTTTGGGTAAGGGTTCCTGCTATCATTTTTTGTTATGTTAATTTTAATTGAAATGCAAAAATATTTGTAGGACCACCGAATCCCGATAATTTACCCGAAGATGGTAAACTTAAATCGGAAATGATGACCAAGGATAATAGACGTTATTATTTGGATTTAAAAGAGAACGCCAGAGGACGTTTTCTAAGGGTAAGTGGGAGAACAGTTAATGTGAGATGGTTACAAGATAGACAAGGAAAAAAGGCAAATGAAACAGAAACAGAAAAAAAACAAGTGAAACATAATATAAAAAACGAATTCACATAATTCTTTAAAATGTAGACAGTCTTTAGAATGTGTACTTTGAATTAACTGATTTAAATTTACCAAATATATTTTTGGACATTAGATCTATTCTTGTATGTCCGCTCATCTCTCTTCTGCAGTGCGGCTGGGGCATACTTAAGAATCGGAGGTCTGTACATCACAATACACGGACTATATCCACCATTATCTCAAATATCGTTCGATGGTCCTAAGCTGCTTGTTTTTTATTTTCAATTGCTATGCATATGATTTAGTACTTTATCCTTAATGCATTTATTGTTTTCCCATAGGTTTCTCAAACAATTACACGGGGTGGTCCCCGTTCTCAAATTGCTATACCAGCCCAGGGTATGATCGAATTTCGCGATGCTCTCACCGATCTTTTGGAAGAATTTGGTACCAATGATGGCGGGTATGTCTCCATTTGAAATTTAATTTTAAAGATATTTTATTAAATGCCACCTATATTTCCAGATTTAAGGGAGATCTGCCTGAAGAACGTCACATGAAAGTAGATAATAAGAATTTCTACTTTGATATTGGTCAGAATAACAGAGGCGTTTACATGCGTATAAGTGAGGTAAGTTTTTTAAATTAGTGTTAATTGAATAGAATACTTTGTATTCGAGTTATGAAATATTTTTATCCATAGGCAATCGTCAAAGTCTTCTTAGAGAACAAGAGAATTTAGTTTAGAAAATCCGATTTTGAGTAACAAATTGGAACCGTATTTAAGCACTAAACAATTATAGTTTTATATATTTTATAGGTTTTAATTAAATGAAAATGTGAGTGTAATTTAAGAATGTGCAAATTCCTTAGAGGAGACTTACCAAAAAGGTGATAGTTGGCCTATCCCCAGACTACTTATCCTGTTTACCTTCGTGTAGAAACACAAGACTACATTATGTGGAACTTAACTTATGGATCAGCATCTTTAAATCATATTGATCCTAAAATGTCGGTCGCATTACTCGCTACAACTTTCAATAAGTCAGGCAAATTAGTAATCTTATATAAGGACTGGTTTGATTTAAAAATGCGCAGCTACGCGGGATTCGGCAACTGCTTCAGTCGGAGACCTTTGGTCAATTGTGTTCATCCTAGGAAGAACAAAGTTGTTGGGGATAGGGGAGAAATAAAAAATAGCATTTATTAAAAGAAGCGTGGAAAGTCAGAGAACGCCTTTGTCAAACTTGTAAAACAAGTCTAAAAAGAAGTTCGAGATTACATCACCCATCTGCCAAATAGCCTATGCCACCTGTTGGATAATATGGGACATTTGCATAGTAAATGTTCAATCCCCTCTAACTCTACTTTATCTTCATATTCATATTCAGTCAGGAACACTGTTGTCCCATATTGAGGTCAGGAGGCATCGACCCAGGATACGGCCACGGACTTGATTTCAAATGCGGGTGGGGACTCAACCCTATTAACGTACCGGGCGTTGTATGTGAGAACATACGGAGACAGAGCGGACAGCTGTCCGGCCTTCTTGAAAAAAACAGGATTCTGAGGCTTAGCCAAGAGGGCGTCCCATCTGGCTTCGGTAATTATTCACCTCTCTCAGATGAGGAGCTCGACGTCACTGTCATACCCTCATCTCAGAAAGATGAATCAATTCAAAAAGCTACGGAGAACTCCCACACCGGGCCCAGGTGATGTTGACTCAAGAAGTAGATCTATGGGCATGTACTGATACGGTCAACGCTGGGATGCAGGAAGTCATTGTGCGAGGTGATTGGAAGGTACTTCACCCACCAATAACCCAAGCAACCACCATGACTCCAACTCGAAGGAGGGTAGAGCAAGGAGGGGGTACAAGCGGACAGCTCTCAATAGGAAGGGGAAAGGTGTCCGAGTATGGTAGTCACTCTATATACCTCCATGATTTTGGTTACCTCGTCTACAATTGATTGATACAATTGATATGTCTGTTGATCTAGACGTCGGAGGTTCCCTATCCACCAGATGGTGATTTATATGGCTCTGTTTATAGCATTCATGCAGGTACTGCTTGACAGCATTTTATATATTTTTCCACTGTATAGTTGCATAGTTTACCCCAGACCGGCCTATTGCCTCCTCATGTAGCTGGTCGACAGGTGTTATGCGGAGGATCCCTGTTATTTCGTGGTGAACATTATATATTTTTCATATTCCTCGCATTAAAAAAGGGGTTTCGATTATTTAAGTAATTGATCGCAGATGCCGAATTGTGGAATAAAAGATATTTAGGTAGCGCTTTAGCTTTAGTCATGTGTTGCATCGAATTACCCACTTACTATCTTATTCAACTAAGAGGTTATATCAATAATGGTTTTTGGTACCGACATTAATGACATTTTATTTCTAAATATTTCAGGTGAAATCAAATTTCCGTACAGCTATAACTGTACCCGAAAAGTGCTGGACACGTTTTCGTGATATATTCAATGATTATTGTGAAAAAATGAAAAAATCGTCCGAATCGCCATCGTCAATCACTGCCGATAATAACACCATACAACAGCAACAACAGCAGCAGCAGCAGCCACAAGCCAAATAAATGTGCAATGGTGGCGCATTAAATTAAACACAGCAAAATAACAAAATGCATAAAAACAAATAATTGGAAGACCGGATTAGTGACAATTTAGAGCAAAGAAGAAACAAAACAAAAAATAAAGGAAAAGGATTGAAACGTAATCAGAAGTAGTAGTGGGAAACAATTGACAATGTCATTATTACTGTTATAATCTATTACATTAGACACACTATACACACCCACAACCACACACACACACACACACCAACATTCAATGCAAAACGACACACACATACACAAGTTAACCAAAAAATAAATAATAATGAAATCTTGTGTTATAACTACAGATGGATCCATGAAACAGTAACAGCTTCATTTGTTAATAATTATTAACAATTGACTATTTTTAATAATAATTATATAGAAACAGAAAACCGATAAATGATTTTAACCACTCTGTTAACAATTATCTTTTTAATTTTACCACATATTATATGAAAAAAAATATGAATCTAAATAATAATGATGATAAAGATGTTAAATAACATGATGTACTACTGTTAAGCTTAACACTTCGATAGATATGTGTCGTGCGTGAATTTAGGAATACATCGTAAAATGCAACCTGTAATTAAACAAAGAAAAACAAAAAGAAACAAAAAACAAACAAACAAAAAAACCTAATGTTCAAATCTTAAAACGAGGCGAAACGATGAGTAAAAAAATACTAAAAAAACAACAAAAAGAAATAAAGCTGATTGGCTATAGATAAATTACCTTTAGGAATCAGACCATTTTTAGACCGACAAACACCCCCCTCCCACTTATAACAAATAGGAATACAAACACCACATACATACATACTATAAAAGAAATAAAAATAGCAAACCAAATTTCACTTACCCACCTTGTATCAAATATGTGTTATTGCTCGCTATCCTTTCAAGGCCAGCAGTACACATTTGAGAGAAAACGAACGAAAGCAAACAAAAAAACAATAAACAGACATAGTTACTGCAATTTAAACACAAATACACACAAACACACACATATACACACAATCATGGTGAAAGTGCATTTTAGAAATGGGATTTGCTGCAAATGTCATGGACGGTCAAACATAAGGTTCAAGGCTTAATGCTGATGATAATGATGAGATCGTAATAAGTATATAAAAATATATATTTTTTTCATTTGAAATTTTATTTTTATTTAGGACTCAAAATTTTTATTTTAATATTTCATTGGAAAAATTGTATTCACCAGATTTTTAATCCCTTATCTAAAATGCAGTTTAGCTCTCACACCACACTTGATAGACATTGAAATGCGATTTTGAAATAATATGTTGAATACATACGTTCCTTTGCAAACAGGAAATATAACTAAATTAAATATCATAAAATGATAATAAAACAGGGGATTTTTTGTTTTGTTACATCCCTCAATTCTCAATTCTTGTTAAATAAATTAAAACAAACACACCAATCTTTCCACTATTATTTTATCTTTTATGATTTTTACTGTTAGAATTGTTTTATTTACACCACACACATTTTAATCATCTTTGATTATGCCAAACCAGGGATAGGATTGCTTTGAGCGACAGTCCCCAATATATTGCTTTCTGGTTTCGCCGAAATCGAAGCTGATCGAAAATGTTTGTTAAATATATATTATGTTTTGGAATTTCTCTATTTTCTTAGAAAACTATTTATTTAAAATAAAAAAAAATCTTACGTTTTTTTTTCTCTACTTAGTTTTATATACATACATATTATAACTGTAACATATTGTGTAATTGTTTTTTCGTGTTTATTTTTTTATTAATTAATAATTATCTTATTTATATATACATACAAAATACATACATGAACACTTGTTTCAGTCTGCTGTGATGGATGAATGCTTTCATTTGCAAAACAAAACAAAAAAAAATTAAGAAAAATTCAAGTTATTTAAAAAAATGTGATTATGTGGAAATCTATAATATAAATGAAAATGTTATTATATAATAATAATAAACAAATTAGTTTTATCTTAAATCAATTGCAAATGCAAAATCAAAATGAATGTTTGTTTTTATTTTATTACGTATATTTTTTTTCTTTATAAACTAAGGCAATGAGATATAATTTTTTTATATTTGCAAGGAGGACAAAATTGGGTTATAATTTATGTTAATTTTTTTCAGCTACTTCACTCGGAAACAGACTTTTCATTGTGCAGTAAGAAAACGTAAAAAAAATAAGTGAAGGGCGGAATAGTTTAAAAAAACGCTGAATGCGAGTAATATTAGAAATAAGAACATGAAATTAACCCATTCCAATACTACTTGACCGAGGTTAGAAGTTCCATAGAGAAGAGATTGAAACTTGCAATCCCTTTCCCTCCCAAAAGTCAACGAACAATGCTCTGTTGTTCTATTCCTTTGTCATCTTCAAAGGGTCTTCAATACTCAATATTACTCCCCTTCTCATTCAGTTACTTCAACAACATTTTATGTTGCATGCCTTTTATTTCTTATTGGTTGGACCGATTTCGGATTTAAGGTAAAAGATCTGTGCGCCTTAAGTGTCATGAATTACTACTATGCTAGGCAAACACAGGGACGCGTGCCTTCAATGAGCGCAATTTCCTCCACACTTTCAATCTGAAGCAAAGAAAAGCCATTTAATTGGAAAATTAGAAGAACATAAAAGTGTATCTCTCCGCCTGGCCCAATTATAAGGTTTTTCTGCAAGAGAATTTGTCTTAAAAAAGCTGTTATTTTATCAGATAAAATGCCAATTTGCATGCTCTAGGGGAAAATAAAAATGTTCGCCTTGACCATTGCCCAATGATGTTTTGACGTTTGTTTTGGATGTATATATTTGTTTAATTTTATTTGATAGATTGTTTGGTAATAAGCTGCGCTTCAACCTTATACGAACTTATACTTGGATCATGACCAGACCTTTAACTTGAGGGTCCTCTGTGAGTTCATATGTTCGCTCATTCGGTTCTACTTATTCTACGTCATGATTAAACCATCATTAAATAGACATAAACGGATAACTTTCAACAAATGATTCTATAAATTAATTTTTGATCTAGTTTACTAGCCCTTTTCATTTTGTGGCGGGAAAATGGGTTTGTTTTGACAAATTGCCTTCGGGTTTTTACAGCGATGTTGTCTGTTTACTTTTTAGAGTTTTCTTACAAAAGAGAATACGACTACCTTACTCTCTGAGAAGGAAATCACTTTACAATTCATGCAGGAAAACTAATCAGACATATCTCCTATTCTGGCATGTCATGTTATTTTTTCTGTAGGCGCAGACCATTTATATAATTAATTTCGTGATTTTTCAATTAAATGAGATATATGTATTTAATGTCCTCAAATCATTGCTTGTTTAACAAACTTTATTACATGACAACATATTAAAACATTTTTCTAAACATTAAATATTTAAATTTAATAATAAAAATTACATTTTATTTTTATATTAGCTTATTCTAAATACAATTATTTATAGGAAATAAAAATTATTTAGTAACTCAAAATATAAATCTAAAAATACTTTAGTAGTAATGACAACAATGCCTACAAACAAACACTTCAATTATAAACAAAAAACAACAACAAAACGTAAAACAAGGTTTCTGGTTTATTTTATCGTCTTTCTTTCGAAAACTTCATTCTATTATTGTTTTTGGCGGGGAAGTCCAAGGCACGATTATTACCAATACAATGATGGTTAAAATCTACAGCAAGGTGACATCCAAAAACCTGCATTGGACTTCTACTTTATTTTCACAAAAAAATTAAAGCTTTAATCTTAAATACGGTCCATAATAAAAACAAAACAAAGAAAATACAGAAAACAAGGTCTAAGCATGGATGTAATTCTTGATAACTAAGTAATTTGTCTTAAGAGAGGATTGAGAGTTCGAGTAGATGTATATATGATTATAACAGTTAATTTAATAAAACAAACAAAACAAAACAAAAACTATCAAAATTACCTAGTTGTGTTAACAAAGAACAAACAAAAAAGAAAGAAAAGAACAAAACAACAGCAACAACAAATGAAAATCTAAACAAATGATAATGCAAATAACAAATCCTTATAAGTGTTAGACAATTAAAAGTAATGTGAATGAAAGTAAAACAAAACAAACAAACAAAAGAAAACAAAACATACAAAGAGAAAACAAAAATCATAAGAAATCGACCTGAAAATAATTATATTATTATACTCTCCATCAAAGGAGAGCGAACGATAGCGAATAGAAAGAGGAAATATGCTTCTATTTGTTTAACAAATAAAAAAATAGGATAAAGGACAATGTCTGGATGGAAAAATTGAACATACACACTAAAATGCAAGTATGCATCAGCAAGCTTAAAAGCCGGAAATGTCTGTTGTCAGTCTGTGTGTGTGTGTATTGGAGTATCCATAATATCTCCGGAAAAATGTTTTGAACGCTGTATGTGTATGACAGACACCACATAACAAAGCCTAGCTTTGTAAGTTAACAAAATATAACAATAATAACAAATTTCATTTTAAGATTGGGATTTTTTCCGACCCAAGGCTTAATTTCTAGTTAGATAAATTGTAAATAAGATTATATACTGAACTTGATTATACACAATTGACATTTTAAAATATATGAATAGCAGATCGTTTGCAATTTTTCCACATGGATATAGAAAACCCATGGCTGAAGAAGAATACTAGTTTCAGTTACGAAATAAACAAGTACATCCATGGCCAATTTATAAGGTACCCCTTCGAAGCTAGCTGACTACCACATTTAATGACAAAGTGTACTATTGTGATTGAAGTGGCAGAACAAAAGATAAAGAAATAGCCAACAAAATGTAAAACAGATTTTGATATTAAATCAACCGTAAATCGTGATTACAACCGATTTTTTATCGTACAGGGCCTTTAAATTAAAAAAAAAACTTATCTAAAATATTTGTGTCTGGCGAGTAGCATATTTTTTTTAAATAGATGTGTGCGATTATTTTGAGCAAAGTGTTATTCGATGACCCAAAAGTCCAACAAAGAGAGAATGAAGAGAGCAATTTTCATAGTTGAGTCACTTGCAAAATCTGACAGGAAAATATTCTTAGTGAGAACCATGGTAGAAAAATACATGTAGATGCATCAACGCTTGGCAACATTGATATGCCAACAATTTTAAAACGTTTTGACAAAAATAAGTAGATTTTTGTATGTTTTCTTATAGGACATAAATCTTATAGTACGTTTATATATATGAGGGTTAACCCACTGGATTTGGATATAAATTGTCATATCCATTACTTTTACTTCAAATAAATCCCCTCAAAATAGGTTAACCGTACAAAAACTTCTAACGTAAACATGGCATTAGATTGTTATGATATGAATTTTTCAAAAATTTTTACAAATATCCATAATTTTTCATTAAAAATGTTCAATTCTAAAATTGCTTTGTAAATTCATTGTCCCAGCAGCGGTGTCGATGCGATTACCTGTATTCTTCTATCATGGCAAGGGTGTTAAGTTGCAAGTACATAAGAAGCTTGAAGTCATGGCTATGCATATTTTGTAACATTTCATAAAGGGAGTACAGAGCCGCACTAAAATCCTGCCGTCATTATCCATTATAACTTGACTATAATATGCCCAGCCTTGACTTCAAGCCTTTTATGTACTTGCACCCTAAGTACACAAGAAGCTTGAAGTCATGGCTAGGCATATTTTGGGGTATTTCATAAAGGGATTACATAGCCGCACTAAAATTCTGCAGTCGTTTTCCTTAAAATTTGACATTAATATGCCTAGCCATGACTTCAAGCTTTTTACGTACTTGCACCTTTAGAACTATTGGTAACATTAGGTTCGTTCGTTTACTTTCCCAGTAACATTAAAAATGGCCAATATCGGTCCAAACGACCTGAATTTTAGCACATCCGACCGAATTCAGTCCAGAAGTAAGTACATCAAATTTGAATATCGATTCAGATATAGCTATAGCTCCCATATATATGTTTCATCCGTACTTCACAAGAATGATGTTTGCTACCAGATTTCAGATGTAGCCCACAAATACCTCTGTCAAATTTTATCAAGATCGGATTAGATTTGGGTATAGCTCCCATACATATCTTTATCCAATATATGTTTTATTATGAACCAAATGGCTAATATCAGTCCAAATGAACTAAATCTTGTCAACAACAATGATCTTTGGTACCAAACATTAGATAAAGCTCAGAAAGAAGTGCCTAACCTTTTATCAAGATCGGTTTAGATTTGGATATAGCTCCCATATATATTTTTATCCGATTTCAGGTTTTTTCTGCACAAAAAGGCTAATGGCAGTCTAAATGACTTCAAATTTGGTAAAAATTGGTTCGGATATAGATATAGCTCCCATATATATTTTTCATCCGATTTCGTGTCCCTCACATGCGTAATATGCATTCCACAACAATGATATTTGTTACCGGGCATCAGATACTGCTCGAAAATACGGGAGCTCTACTAAATACGCATAGTGGCGTAGGGTATTATATAGTCGGCCCCGCCCGACTTTTGACCTTTCCGTACTGGTTTTAGCTGCATTTGACATAATTTCGCTCTCACTTACTGAACTTTTCGGTATACGAACAGCTTCCAGTAAAAATTTTTACAAACTATCGAGTAAACGAACACACCTAATATGTCTGCTTGCTTTTTGCAAATTTTACTCGTGAGAGAGAACTGTTAGTTAATTGAAAATGGACACCTCACAATTAATGAACGTTTTTTCAATGGCATAGCATGACTGCAATATAATATAAAATATTAAAAAATAAGTCAACAGTCGCGTTTGTGGAAGTCGCTACAGCTCTCCAAGCTTTTTCCTTAGCAATCTTGTTGCGATATGTTTTTTTTTTGTCAAAAAGGCAAGAGTGAATTCTAGTAAGATAAGAGAGAGAGAGGGAGAAGATATTCGCTCTGAGAGAACTGTTTTGCCCAGAAATAACGGGAACTAGTAAATATGTCTAGACTTGATGGAAATCCATCAAAATCAACATTTCAGTAAAAAAGTGGTTAACGAGAACACCATATTTGAGCGTGTTCCCTTCGTTTTGCTTGTAAATTTGACTAGATTTTCAAATGGGTTGAGTAAAAAAAATTAAAACTAGTACAATATGCAATTATGATTTCGAATATTTTAAAATGTTTAATTGTGTTAATTGAAGGAAAGTACCCCAATTTTAGCAATAAAAAATCATAATTCAAAATAAGGGGACTATGGGGAAAACTCAGCAATAATTTGGCCGAATAGAAAATTACCCAAACAGAATGAACTATTGACGGCTTAGCTTTGCAATCCAGGGGCTTAATTACGGTTCTAAAAAATGTGATATGAGAACAAATTTTACCAAAAATAAATAAATAAAACATTTCTCATTACAAATTTTTATAGAAAAAGAATCCTGGGGTCAGGCAAGGGAGCACAAAAAGCAAACGTAAAACTCATGCAGCAAAAGATCATTCTGTTTCGGTCTAATTGGCTTTTGATTAATCGATTCGGAAAACAAATTTGGTCGTTAATGGCATTTGAATTGATTAGCCGAAATAATATTTTAATTTCGTCTCCACTACATGGTGTGATATTTTTTGTTTCTTGGGAAATATTAAAGCCGCTGTGAATTAAGCCCGCCCATTTCCTTCTTGTACATAAAGGTATGAAGACATTTTTAAAATGTCCTCGTTACAAACTAGAAAGATATTCAAAATAATATGTTGGAGGGTATAAATAATTCGGCTTAGTCGAATATGCATAGCACTCTTAATTGTTTTTAGTAAAAATTACTAATAAAATAAATTTAGAATCTAATGATATATAAATATATATTTAATTATAGAAGAAACAAAATAAAAACAACAAGAAGAGCAACAAAATGTCCTAAAGTAACTGAAAAGAAAAAAAGATAAAACAAATTCACATACAAAACAAAAGACAAAAGAAAGAAACATGTAAAAGTCCTTCTAATCTGTGTTTGTATTCTATGTTAAATAAATTGTAATGATGATTATGAAGAAAATAAATAGAAAAAAACATAGCTGAAATGTAAAAAACAAAACAAAACAAGATGTAAGAAATCCCCAAAATAGGTAAACAACACGGTCCATTGAGGTACATGTATTGGGTGTTTGTCAAACTCCTAGCCGCGTTGTTTTGGTAGGTTCGAAAAAGAAACATAGAGCAAACGAACAATATTGAGAAGATTAAACAGAGACATTCGGAACAGAAGTGAAATGAAGCCAAGTTGCAGGTGGATTTTCTATATTTTATCTTTTGTAAAAAATAAAAAATGTTTTTATATGGATTATATTCATGGATGGCGCCCAAATGCATTTTAAAACGTTGGCCGTTTGGGATATCCGTCACCTGTTTTTGAAAAATATGCTCACTTCTTAAAGTTTGTCTAGAATATGAATAGAATAGCTAAAAACACTTTTAAAAGTAATTAATACGGTTCCTTAGGTGATCCTCCTGGTCTACTGAGAATGAAGTCGAGGGGGTTTAACATGATTCTCGCCTAAATGGCTCTAAACATGATACACTATTGCACCGGGGTTGCGATACAAGCAGCCCTTAAAAATTAACCAGTGTTCTCTTAGATAGTGGAAACCCACACACAGCGTTCTAGTTCTATTTCGCAGGTACTTATTACAAGATCAGCTACATGGATTTCATTTCCCTCTTGGTTAGGGGTTGAGAACTATCTTACACATCTGCCGCACGTGGCTGAGAATGCAACTCTACATTAAGCCGAAACTCTTCCCGCGATTTGGATATAAACCACAACCTCCACGTTGAATCCAAAACATAAGACTCTCCGTAGTCAGGCTAGATCAGCATATCTAGGGGTTTTAGACTTCGCGGTGTCAGAAAAGTGTGTGGTCGAAACTACTACCAGTTATTGTTTCATACAACCCGGGACTACACGGGCACGATCCGTAGTGGCATTCTCTAACCCGTTTTCGAGTTACCGACAAAAATTGTTAACTTTGAAACTCAAAATTTTGATATAAAAAAAGAAGTTAAACATTGGTATCTATCGGTACTTTTTAGAGACTACTTTCATTTCGTCGCTATCTTCAAATTTCGTTAATTACCGAAATAATAAACATTTTAATTTTACCGAATTTTGTTGGTAACTAAATAAAATGGGTTAGAGAATTACACTACAGGGAATAGGATGAATGAAACACAAAAGTGTCACACTGATAGATATGTGTAATCACTACGTTTACATGGACGTAGCAAGATCACTGCGAAGAGCGATGCCTTTTCACTTCTTCCTCTCCGCAAAACCTATTTGGTTTGAAAGTGCACCCGATAAAGATCGTGAAGATCTGTTACTATGAGACTGAGGTTTGCAATTTCCTGGAATTCCTCACGACCTGCGTACCAGAAAAGACCTTCTGTGGCAAACATACGCGCCTAGGAGTGTACAACCCCACAAAACAACATAAAAAAGGCGCGTATGTTTGGCTAACTGTAAACTGTCTACGACTGTAAAGCCCAACATAAAAATATGACGACCTGCATTAAACTAGCGATCTTCAACAAGTTGACGCCATACCTGCAAATTTCCCAAGATTAGCACGATGAGAGCTAGTGGATAGTGCACGACATACATCCCATTGGACATTCGAGAATACATGAACACAACACATGCAGCCAATCCTCGACTGGAGCGCCACACCTAGGGTTCTCCTATGTAAAAATGCATTGAGAGGCCCATGCCTGGTCAACAAATATCCCATATGAAGGCCAAATCCAAAATAGGGGTTAGTCGTGAAAGTTCACGTGCATTTTCGCTCTCGTTTCATCTAGATTGCCATCTACAGTGTTCGAATTCACGCAGCTGCGCCTTGCTATCAATGGCACTGTCCAGAATTTCTATCGCCCAATCTGTAGTGATGATCCCAATCAGACCTCAGTATTCGACGGACATCCCAACTATACTGCACATCTTCTCTTTGACCAAATGACGAAATACATTACTTCTGTTTGGGAGAGTGGAGGGTGCATTGAACTAGTACAATCCCTCCTATTTCGAATTTTCATAAGAATAAGGTATTTGTTTCGGAAAAGATGCTCTTGAAGACGATGCTCTCTCAATCAGACATCCATAAGATACGTCTATTTTGTGCTGTAAGCTCATAGTTAATGTAGATGTAGCTATTTGTATGAGAATTAACTATCCCATGGACTTGGTGTCTAGTCAGGTTTTCGGAAAAGATGATCTTGAAGGCAATGCTCCCTCAGTCAGACATCCATAAGATTCGTCTATCTTGTGCTGTAAGCTCATAGTTAATGTAGATGGATCCATGGTACAATGATATCAAGGTAGGGCTATGATACCATATGATTTTAATTTTTTTATTTTCTTGGCTTAATATGTCATCTTTATTTGTTTATGTAGTGTTTTCTTTTCAATAACAAAAAAATTGTTCAGAAAATATTCAAATTCGGATGTTTTCAAAATGTTTATTTCAACGTATGCATCGACAAAATCTAGAGTTTTTGTAGCGAAATAATCCTTTAGAGATATATAGTACATGATTTTGAAAAGAAGTGCTGACCTTTCATTCAGTTATCGCGTTTTTCAATTATTTAATTAAAAATAAATGCAACAAGTTGTTTGATTTTTTATTGTTTTGATACTAATTTTGACATTACAAGCCAAACAGGTAGACCTCTATACTTGCAATTTTTTCAAAGTTGACCTACCTTCTCTTCATTGTACCATGGATGGATCTATTTGTTGGACAATTATTGTTCCCATCAGGTATACACTTATCGACTCGGTGTTTCATATAGTTTTTTCATCATCTCTTTTTTCTTAGGCACTGAAGAGAATTCTGTAGTTTTCATGTTCTCCGATTTAATTTATGAGTTCTCAATGTGAGAATTGTTTACTTCGACACCCAGAGAAGCTGTAATCTTTTTAACAACTCTCTCTCTCTCTGTCCCCATTTCAATAGCATTTGCGTTGTTGATTTCTGTGTTGCGTTTAAGCTTCTTTTTCTCCAACTTTTTAACTCTCATTTCCATTTCAATTATCTGTCAGCTCTTCTCTTTATCTTTATTTTGGACGTTTACGACCTGAGTAGAAATATCAGTTAATTAATAAAATTAATAAAATTGAGCTCGAGGTCTTTGTTGTTTTTTTTTATACTATTTTTTTATTATTTTCGATATTTCGATTTGTCAGAGAGGACAGCAACACAGGGTCGACGTCGTTACTTGGCGAAATGTTGAAAATTTTTGTTATATGTTAAATATTGTTCCTGATGATGTCTTCCTTCGGAGGACGAAATTTCGAAAATAATAAATAAATAATATTTAAAAAGCAACAAAGACCTCGAGCTCAATTTTATTAAACTTACATTGGAATAATTTAAAATAAAGGTCGAATAAAATAACTAAAAATCAGAAAAATATTAGTTAATGTTTCATTTATTTATTTTAGACTCTAAGTCAAGTTCTACAGTTTTTCTCTTGATCGATTTAATTCGATATGAGTTCTCAATGTGAGAATCGTTTACTTTGACACCCATATACGTTGGAATCTTTTAACAACCGTATCTGCCTTCATTTGGATAGCATTTGCGTTGTTGATTTCTATGTTGTGTTTAATTAACTTTTGCTCCAACTTTTAACCTTCATTTCCATTTCAATGTGAGAGTAATTTACTTTGATGCCTATAGAAGCTGCAATCTCTTATAAATCAGTCTCTGCCTCCATTTCGACAGGATTCGCGTTGTTTATTTTTGTTGCATTCAATCATCTTTTGCTCTCAGTTCTTCTCTTTATCTTTACTTTGGATGTCAAGGACATCAGTAGAAAAATTAGTTAATGTTTCATCTATTTTGTTATGATGCTGTTGAAATTGCATTCATGTTAATGATCTTTTGCTGCATTTCTGTTTTCAGTTCGCCTATGTCCGATCTGAGCTCTTCGTTTTTATTCATACGGTTAGTTTGAGACTCAGGCAATGCATTATTGTTGTTGGAGATAATGAATTTTGATCTCGTATGTTGTCGTTGAGATTACTACCACCATTACCAACATCATCCTCTCTCGATTTCTTCTGTTGCTGTTTATGGACATATGTCTCCACCGGAATTTGTTCTTCACTCGGAATTTTATGTGTCGTAAGGTGCTGCAGATTTATTTTGATGCGTATTTTGATGAGTATGTCCAGTGTAAATGAATGTTTCGTATATATTGTTAGGTGATTTTTGCTTAGCTTGCAAATTTCACATTTCCACTCCAATTTTTTCATCGTGCTCATAGTTTTAAGTGGTCTCAGAGAGTACCGTGCATGTTGAGAAGTAGAATTTTTTGTCGCAGTTACGATCTTTTCCTTATAATATCAATGAAGTTAAACAAAAACTTCATTGCTGGAAGAACTTTTGAAATATTTTGCAACAGTCCGCGACAATTTAAGACACTTCTGTTCACTTTGAAAGTCACAGCTGAACTGTGACATTTACATTTGTACGTTTACATACAAATTCTCTACCCGGATTAAGGCTGATAACTGACCAATCACATGAAATAAATATATATTTAGTATAGTCAGATTTATTCGGGTTCCTCAATTATTAGAGTTAACCCGGGTAGATGAAACAAAAAAAAAAAATACAAACTCCATGCAGAACTTGGCTTCATTTCACTTAGATAAGACGTCTGTTGTAAAATAAAAAAAAATAATAAAAACCAAAATAATTATAAAAATAGAGTAATAATATAAAATAAATTAAAACAAAATATATAACTAAAATTGAAAAACCAAAATCACACACAAGAAGAAAAAGAAGAAAAACAACAAAACAAAACAAAAACTGTTATAAAAAGTAAATAATTGTTTTTATTATTATTATGATTATTTTTTCTAAACAAAAATATAGTTACGTATTTACTTGAAAATAAAAAGAAATATCCTCTAAATAAATTCAATAAATTCTACTTTAGCCAAATTAGCTAAATACTGTTGATGTAACTTAAAACAAAAAAAGAAAGAAAAAAAACTAAAAGAAAAAACACAAAACAAACAAAACTAAAATTTTGTATCTAATTATTTTTTTACTGATTTTCTTCTGGGATGATGATGGCATGCATGTTGCAGAATGTGTAGAAGCACTGTGTTAATGCTTATAATGATGATTATATAATGGAAAATTATCTTTCAAGAACGGGGAGGGAGTATATTTTTAGCAATCAGTGTTATATTTTTGTTCTAGCATCTTAACATCTAACTTAATATGTATTAAGGGATTTGTTAATGCCCGAAATGAAACTGAATTTAAAAGGCATTAAAAAAATTTCATGTGGCAATGCTGCCGAAAATCAATGAGCTGTTGACAAATTGTTTACGTCTGTGAAAATCAAAATAGATAACAACAAACTACAAAACAAAAATTTTAAGAATTTTCAAAATGAAACATTAATATTTTTATTTCCAGATGTCAAAGGAATAGAAGTGTCTGGTGTCAGTGAGACACTGAGATTTTATTGGATATGTTGGCGGCACGAAATGTAAATCCAAATACTGCCGTCTGTCAGGGAAAAAATTTAATTAAGATCCTTTTAATGTAAATTAACTCTGTCTAGGCCATTACCTTCCCGGCTGGATCTGCATAGATAATTTTCTGTCCCAGACGGTAGTACCTATTAGGAATTTCAAATACGAAATTTGAAACAATTCCACTAAAGAATATCGCTTCAAAGCTTAAAATACCGAATATGGGGAGGTAACATTATATTGACAGTTCTATGCAAGGATGTTTCTTACATAATGGGAACATATGCTGCAAATTTACAACAAAGTTGGTTAAAATTGTGACTAAGCCAGTTAAAAACCCTTTAATCTATCGGTATAGGGGATATACCAAAACGTGGACCTATATAGCTCATTTTCAATACCAAAAGTCCTGCAGAGCAAACACACATCTGAATAAAAATTCATCGACCTACTTTATTTCGTTCGAAAGCTAGAGTGATTTCCCCAGACGGACAGACATCTCTAAATTGACATTGAATTTTATGCTGATCAAGAATATATATACTTTGTGGGGTCTAAAATGCATACTAGGTGTTACAAATTTAATATACCCTCCATACTATGGTGGAGGGTATAACAAAAGAATGAGCAGAATTGCTTAAATAAAAATCAATCACCAAATAATTAAAAACAACTCTTAAATTGTCTCATAAAGATAACGAATTACAAAAAGAATTTGGTTCGGCAAAAATTTTCAAACTCTCAGTAAAAGAACTGTAAACATTTGTCGCTCGAATCGCTCTCTTTTGCAACACTTTTCAATAAAAAGATTTAATACTTTTTTTAGGTTAACCAGACATACCCATATTTTTATCGGTAGTTTCTAGCGACCATTATTGTCTTTAAAAAGAAAATATTTTTCATTTCATATTTTCATAGAACAAGAATCCAGTCCAATCAATCAATTATTTTAAACAGGCAATGTGTCGCCCTGTATTTCTAACTGATTGATAATACAACGTTCAGCGCCGTTCATTTGTTTGCTTCATCGGCGTCATAAAGTTTCATTTTAAGTGATCGACTCTGATTTCAACTTAATTAAAGGTGAGTGCGAGATAATACGAGATAAGGTGTACCATTTTAATCTTTGGTTTTGTTCTCTTGTTTTATTTGTTGATATCATTTTTTTAATTCCTTGTCTCTTGTGCATAATATTTAAAGGTAAGTCGGCGAAATAGCTAAAAAAAAATCATAATTAAATTTGTGGTCAAAACATAACAAGCGTATTGCGGTATTCTGCACGCAAACATGTTGCACATTAAGCGGTTATTATTATATAGTAAATATATAGTATATTTGAGTAGTATATGCTATTTCACATTAGAAGACGGAAAAAGTTATTGATACTTATTTTTCATTTCGAGCAGCCCATTCTGGGGTTTCTGGGTTAGTTTCTAGATTTTTGATAACATAAGAATATTAGATAAAGAAAAAGTGAGGAAAAATACTAATGAAGGATTGAGTATTTAAACTATTAAAGGGCAACGTATTGGGTTAATTTTACTAATACCTTTCAGAAGAAACAAATGCAACTGAAAGAAATATCCAAAAAATATGTTTGGATGAGTGGTTTTTGGGGACAATTGATAATGTGATAATATAACGAAACATTAAGGGAGTCATGGATTTAGAAAAATATACTGTTAATATAATTGGTAGATATCAAAACATATTGTCTAGAATCAGATCTGTACTACTACACACATCAAATACAATTTTTTGACATTACAAACAAATTGTGAAGAAAAACAATGGGGATTTGCATAAAAACGAGAGAAAGGGACAATCATGATAAAATTAAGAAGGTAAAGTCATCGTACTATTGACGTTTGTTAAGTTGCTACCATGTTAGCAACAATTAAAAATTTCCTAGGGTTATTTTTGAGATTCAGTTTTGTCCAGTGATTATAATATTTTTTAGCGTTTTTGGTCGACAACCTGTTAGATTATGTGACGTGTTATTTCATTGCATATATGTTGACACTGACATCAGCTGTTTCTTTTCATCCCATGCTTCAGCTGATTACTTATCACCTGATACCATATGTGCGCGTTAACAGGGCAATTCATAAAACACTAATTAAGTGTCCGTTATATTTAAACGATTTAAAACAGCAAACGTCTGTTTTATGTATTTTATTAAAATTTAAGCTGTCACATGACATACATATATCATTCTGGCTGGCTATACGATCGATAACTCTCGAAAGGAGCATTTGATTTATTTCAAATCATGGCTAAATTAAGAAGGTAAGGTATCTCGCGGATTTCAAAAATTTGCAAAAAAGTAATATATTGAGCAAAGGGAATAATTAATACAGGCCAAATTCGGCCTCCATAACAAAGGATCCATATTTTAGGGAAATCTATGTCGATTTTCTGTAATTTTTTTTCACATCTTTAAATTTTTGTCTTTGTAATGTGAAGTGTGAAAATAAAATAGATCCGTCCAGTCTTGTTGGTACGCCGGGCAGGCCGTCTTTATGATACCCTACACCGCTATATACATTACGTAGAGCTAACCGAAACAAATAAACGTTTATATAGGGAACTAGGAAGTGTCGCCTACTTCGTCAGCGAAAATTCCACATTCAAAATTTAGATCCGTTCACAATTTGTTCAGCTTGAAAAAAAAAATTTATCAAAACTTTATACATAGTACTAAATTTTCAGATTCTCTAGGTTTTATACGTTATTCAAGTTTTTGCTTTTTCGAAAAAATAACAGGAAAATGTTTACCTCTTACACCAAAAAGTTTTCAAAAACTTTCATTTTGAATTTTTCCGAGGAGGACATTATAAAAACCATTGCACAATGGACCCACATCCAATTTTTCTGTCCAAAATTATTTCAACGTCTGCATTTGTCAACCCTAGATACGAAAAGTGACCTCAATATCAAATTTCAGTTCTATCCCTTCACCCAATAGCAAATTGAAAAATATACAAACCAATCAACATCTCTTCATCCTAGAAACCAACTGTGATTCAAATTTAGTACATATTTTCAAAACTACCTCCATATCTCAATCCCAGATACCAAGAGAATTTAAGGATTTCGGCTCTATTCCTTCACCCAATACCAAAATTTATAACCACTTAGTACTTTTCGAACTAACAACAGACACCAAAAGTTATCTAAATATCAAATCTCCGAATTTATCTATATCCCTTCACCCAATACAAATATATATACAATACTCAAATAGAGTACCAAACAGTACTCTTCGTACAATTATACAATACATTTTCGAAACCAAATTCACGAACAGCGACCCTAATACCAAATTTCCGATTTCAAGCAGTATCCGTTCACCCCATACCAAATTGTACAAAATATAGTACTATTTGATACTTTTCGTGCTCTTGTAGTACACATTTCCAAAACCGCCTCCTTATTACAAACCAACCACCAACAGGGACCACAATAAAAAAAATCAAAATTCCAGCTTTACTCGTTCACTTTTAGCCAAACAGATCCAAATTTAGTACCATTTAGTACAGTTCGCACAATTAGTCCTCATTTTTAAAACCACCTTCATGTATCAAATTTTTAGCTGTATTCATTTACATAATACCAAATGGTACCGTTTCAGAAGTTTAGTACCATTTTAGAACTATTCGTAACCTTAAAGTTCGAATTTCAGAATGTTAGCTCTTTCCGTTTATCGAATACAAAGTATTCAATTTTAGTACATGTAAGTAATTTCCTTATTATTTTAGTACAACTTCCGAAAACCCAGCCTCACCACAAACCTAAGCACCAAGACTGACACTCATGCTAAATTTCAAGACTCTAGCTTCAGCCGTTTCATCATGGCGTTGATTCTCAGCACATATAATTTGATATCGAATGGAACTGATATATGGGAGGTATATTCTTCTCTGAATCGATTTCCACTAAATTTGATGGGGGCACTTGTGTCTGAACCGACTTTCACCAAAATACATCCTATTTGGGCTGATATTACCCTTTTGGTGAACAGTAATCGTGAAATCAGATGAAGATATATATGAGAGCTATATCAAAAAGTATTTCTATGCGATATTCGATTGCTGGTACCAAAGTGACCTTAATACAAAATC